TTATTTTTTAGATTCATTTTATTTTAATGTGCTTAAGCAAACAGCTACGAAACAAATGGTCATGTTGCACAATAACATAGATCTGAAAGAGTAAATGCAGTTAAACGAACTATGATTTTTGTCTTAATATCTCCAGAGACATTTATTTAAATTTCTTCTTACAGACAGTTATATTGAAATTCCTAAAAGAATTCATGACATTGTATTTTTTCCTGCATTATCAACAGTAGCGTTTCACATTCATGCAACACATTGTGGTTTCCTAACAAGTAAACCATCCAACCTTCTGATTATCACCTCACTGGAAGCTCTCTCCTCCAAAATCTTAGTCTTTGAGAACATGAAAAGCCAATGTAAAACATACAATTAATCACTGCAGCCAGGAATGGGAGGTATTTCTAATAAAAGTATATGAAATGCGTATTTTAAACATAAAATACTTTTTTGTAATTTGTATTTTATTGAGATGATGAAAATGCCTTTGCATTTGGTATCAAAATACTTTAGCGTTGTGCATTTTTGTATTTTCAAAATACTGTAAAATACTCTCTGTGAGACACAGTTTGTGATGTCGTCTAATTATCTATATAGCATGAAATTGTGTCTGGGGAACCTTTGCAGTCAAGTCCACTGTGATACCATTCTCGACCACAAGGGAATTTTGGCCCCTTTTCAAAGCTGCTATGGGCACATTGCTCGATCAACACAAAACACACGGTGCTGCATATTAGATTGAGTCAGGTGTCTTCTACTTGGTGCTTTGTCCGGACCAGTCAAGGAAGTTGTTTCAAAGCAAAGTGAGCAACCAAATTTACCTAGTTTATTTCAGTAACTGATTTATTCTCAACCATGAATCACTCTTTTTATTGCATGTTCCTGTTCAATTTAACCAGTAGCCGAGTTGAAGGGGGATGGCATCCCTCCTTCTTAAAAAATTCTTAAAAATCATCCCCCTTAAATGACCATCCCCCCATACCATCCCCTGTGACATTTTATAACTGAATGTGTAAAATTTCTACAATACATTAACAGTTATGGCAATAATATTGCCCTTTCAACATTTGGTGGGCTGTCGGCTTACGATTAGCCTTAGAAAAATAGATAAAATCAAAGAAGTGGCCTACCATGACCATGAAGCTGATCCCAGTGGGAAATTGGTCCCTAACTATGTAGGGGCAGTGATAGGCATGCCAGTCTAGAGACTGACTTCAGGTCTACTGTAAGGTTTTGTGGTCAAGGTCAAAGACCGGCGTACCTGACATGTAACAACCATACCATGCATAGTGCTTTAGGTTAATATAATATATTAATTAGGCTATGTATAATTCTATCATCCCCCTTCTTTTTTTTTTTCTACAACTATACTACACAGTGTAACGTTCAATGTTAGCTGCTAACTGTTAGTTTCACTGTCATTGATTACACCAGTGAACATTCAAAGAATAACGTTTTTAAAGTTATTGTTATGTTTCATTTTGTTTAATGTAATTAGCATATAGCCTACATAGGACTTTTGTATCTCATTGTCAACATTTGTGCTGCTGCAGCACCACAGGTGACCTTCTCCACCACTTGTAGTAATCTAGTTTGTGCTCATACTAGTGTTGGCTGTTTTAATGTACTTTTTTGTAAAAAAAAATGTACCTAATAATGTTCTACTGTTGACTGTATGGCAACACAATATTGGTGTTGGGAGTAAAAAGTAATTTAATTAGGCTACAGTAATGCATTGATTTTTACATTAATGCAGTAATGTAAGGCATTACCAATACAATTTCAGTAATATTTTACTCAGTACAATTCTCAATAATTGAAGTTACTTTGCTTTTTAATCCAAAATTGAGAAATGCTTAATTGGCACCAGAGAAGATTATCCAATAATTTCAAAAGTCATCTATGCTGGTCCTGGAATTTTGATTGCCCTGTTTAGATGATTATCGAAAGGGAATTTGAGTTATATCTGCCGTTCATGCAACAGATCTAACATGGTTAGAATATACTTCTTATTTCAAGCAGTGAGAATAAATAAAATGTTGCTTTCACAGACAAAGATCTTAGCCATGATTCTCAAACTATTTGCAGTAAATCTACACAACTGGAAGTGGAAGAAAAGGCAACCAGCAATAATGAGAACCATTTAAAGTCAACATACAATTTCATTATGGGTATATTTTACTAGATTAAGTTGTGAGTGACCTTTGACCTTTGGGGCCTACATTGTCCCATGAGTCATAACTGCAACCATTATGATGGTTGTCTTATATCAAGGTTGGGCACTCTGGTAGTGATGGTGTTAAATCACTTAAAATGTTAAAATGCTTACCAGTTTAAATGTCTAAATAAATCATCCATTTGGATTGTTTGTCTTTAAGTTATTGTCATTGATCTATAGTGGGCAATCTATTCCACCAATAGAGTAAATAAGTATAACCAAGGAAGGGCTCCTTGAGTTACTGAACATTTCTCAGGGCAGGGTTTATATCGGGGTGTCTAACATGAAGGGTCAGCATATCTGTTGACTGATTATGGAAGGAGTCTCTTGCTTTCAGATGTTTTTACAGATAGTGTTCATGTGAAGGGATAGTAGAAAAAGGCTCTTAGAATAAAGTATTTTGTAGCATTTTGAAAATACAAAAATACAGTATTTTATTTTGATACATTTTTAAAGGTGGGTATTTGGTATTTTATTTGAAAATACATTTTGATGTATTTATGCCCATCCCTGACTGCAGCTGATACTCCAACCACCAAGGTATGTGCGATTGATGCACACAACAAGCTGCAGCTAGAAGAGTGGAAAAAAAACACAATCTAATTTTTAAAAAGTAAAATTCAACTGAATATAATTAAACTATAACTGAAGCTGTTATGACAGGATGTTTCCAAAAAAATTGGTATTTTGATACCTTTGGAATTTTAATTATTGGAATAGCTTTAAATATCCTACTGTGCAATTTGAGTGAATTCATAACTAAAGTCAGCAAAGGCTGCCACCTCACTATGAGCATAAATATAACATAATTTGTCATCTGGTCTTAATTATCTTTTAACTATTTGACCCTCCTGTTAATTTTGGGCTTATATAGCCACGTGTCCTGTTGTTTTACTATATACCTACCTTCTCAAACAAAATGATCTTAATTTCTTTACTTTCTGTTGTTGTTTATAACATTACAGGGATCATAAGGGAAAGAAAGATCCTGGAAACAAGCTTCTTGATTGCTCAGTGAAGTTTATAGCCTTTTTAAGTAATGTGTAGATTTGATCTGAACTCAGTGTTAGCTAATTAAAAAAAAATATGCCTGTGCTGCCATTTGAACAATAATTACAAATAGGGGAGTCAGATCTGACTGGGTCCATTTGCATAGGAGAAAACATCTCAGCCTCAATATTAAAACTGCAATTTAGTTTGTGTAAAGTAGCTATAACATACCTTCATCTAAAAAAAGAGCATTGTTTATCCCATCAGGATGAGCTGTGCAGAGTTCCGGTCTCTTGGTATAATAAAGTTCAAGTATAAATTATTAGTTTTGACCTTTAGTTTTTACCATTTATGTACAATACTGGAGAGCACCAGGTCCACCTCCCGCTAACAGCCTGATTAACTTCTGAATAACCCACTGATGCACTATCAGAAATAAAATAAACCCCCTGCTGCTGGACTGAAACAGAAAAACAACGACAGAGCAGCTGCTGCATGGGACAACATAAAAAAATAATAAAAAACACCTTGGCATATTAAAACTAGAACACAATGGTCATTTAATGCTTGAAGTTTCTTTTTATGTCTCAAATCATCCATATAGTGCTGAATGCATTTTATTGTACAAAAAAAAAAAGTCCTTCCATCTTAAACTATATATCACCAAACCATGTCCTTTGTTCAGCCTTGAATATTTAAAAACAGATTACCCCTTCGACGTGTTCGTAATAGCTAATCACAATGCCACGGACAAGCTCTAGACGATGAATAACTCATGGGCACACAGAGGACGTTCAACATACGACTTCCACCACTTACAGCACTAAATTGCCGGTGCTGTATTGACAAAGCAGAGACACAGACTTCTGCACCAGAACATCTGTGAACTTATCTCTGATGAGCTTTTTATACATGCCATAAAACATCCTAAATGATGCCATTCTACATGTTCTGCTGGTTATTAAACAAATGTGAGGCTATAATGAAACCTGCCTTATAGAAGAGAAAAATAAAAGATCATCTCCACATTTCACCGGCACTGATTGTTTCATTACAGAGAAAGGACGCAGACAAGGACACCCATCTAAAACCTCAAGGTGATTTTCTGTCTCTAACGCGGTCTGAAGGGTGGTGAAGATCATAAAGATAAAAGCGGGACGTGAGCCACTGCAGATTTACCCAGCCGGACTCTGTTTAATACATGTTTATTGTAATGGAAGCCTAGCTGGACAAAAAGATGTACAATCTTCTGCTGGTTGCTTTGACAACTGCAGCAGCTCTGCACATTTATTAGTGCTTTAAAGCAGCGCCATCTTGTGGGCTTCCCTAAAGTGATCAGTAGATGGAAGAAAAAGCTCAACAGCGCACTCTAGTGAACTCATCTGTTCATTAACTGAACCAAAAAGATTGGGGCTGATTTGGTTTCCATAGTAAATATATTTTCTGTTGAGAGAAGGACGGAAATGACAGTGAGCAGCGTTTCACTCTCACATAAGGGGGAGTCGCTTGTTTCCACAGATACAGGCTGTTTGCTGGGTGTGTAATCTTAAAGACCTGTTGGGTGGTTAAGTCATTCCAAGGCACAGTCAGGGAAGTATGCTGAGCTGTGCAGTCTGAGAATAAGGTATGAAGGGACTTTTTTTGTTTTTAGATCAGCCAGAGCTGCAGCTCTGCAGCAAGCAAGAGGGGTCTCTACATGCTTTTATTACACATTGGAAAAGATAAAATATTCATTTAGGAAGAATAAAGATGAGCAGAAATGTGATAAAATGTTAAGAAGTGTGTGCTCTGGTCTTACCCTGGTCGATATTGTGCTGTGGTAACTGGCTCATCTGACTGTGGACCACGCCTGCGTAATTCCGGAGAAAAGCTTCCTCACTTGGAGTAAGCTGAGAAAAAAAAAGAAAAACAATAGTTTTATAAGGCCTAAACCAAAACCAAACAGATGGAACTCTGATCCAAATGACTTGTTATGACTTGTCCCGTTATTGGGCTCAATGATCAATCTTTAAAGCCTGTGCTTCCATTTTTTCAGTTGGATGAATTTTCTTTGCCTCTGTGTCGTTTTCTGCCCCACGTCTTCCAACTATGTTCAATAGACTGAGGAAGCTAAATTTTGTCTGTGGAGTCTCCTCTTTTTGTTGGTGAGGCAAATTTAAGCTTCACTGTCCCTTCTGGAGAAAAAGTACTATCCAAGAAGCATGATGCTGCCACCACTGTTTGTGATCATAGCATGGTGTGTTTAGAGTAGGAAGTGTAGGGCTGTTTTTACATCACACAGTGGCTATGTTTACATGCACAAAACCTTTAATCTGACTGAAACCAGTATGGTTTTAAATAAGGTTTATAAAGGATTAAAATTATAATCTGATCATGAGATGCTTTTGTGTTAACAACACTTCATTAAGATTAGAAGCAGTCTGCCAAGAACAGAGATGTACTAATTTTCTAAAACTAACGCAGGTAAAGTGTTGGTTCTGAGGGCCCAGAATGGACCAATACTCTGAGAGCAGCTGAGGTGTTACTGCCCTTCATAATCAAGCTACAAGCTCAGCAGATCATGTTGCTGCTGATTTTTTATTTTTTTATTTTTTTTACAGAATTAGAGAACAGCAGGAAATTAACATCCAAACACATTCTTCCTCGTCCTCCAAATATGCGGGGTCAAGTCAATTTGCCTCAATCCAAATTACATGATGGGAAAAAGTGCTTATACTCGGATTATGGATCAGAAGAAACCACCTCTAAATTGGTATACAATGTTCTAAGTGAGCTAAATCCCCTAACAGTATTCTGACCATCATAAATACATGACATATTTTCATTCCTAACAACCCTATTTTTCTAATTACTTTAGGTCCACATGTGTAATACGTCTGTCTAAAGAACCCTGACTTTATTTTAGTTTCTCTGATCTAAAATAGATCTAATTTTGTTCACGTTAAGGGAGAGATTTTCTGCTGGCGTCAATTCTTGGAATAAAAGAGTTGTAAGAAACAAAGCAATAAATGATATTAGCTTTGTAGTAAAGTTTTCAATGCTAAATGATTTTCATACAGTACCTTGGCATCATCCTAAGTCCCCTTAGAAAGGTAAAGACTTAAACCACTAGATGATAGGGCAAAAAACATTATGTAAATCTATAAACCTAAAGATCTACATGTTATATACAAAACAAGCTTGTCGGTCCAATCGCTTTACTTACATTAGAACCCATTTTTTTAAGCATGAGCAGGACCCGCACTTTCTGTTGGATATACATGTCTTCAGGAGACTTCCCCGGCGCCTCCTCGCGGTTCATCCCCTCTGCTCCTGTGGCTCTGGTGACACAAAAACCAGCAGCATAAGTATTTTAAAAAGGTGAAATGGTAGGTTGTGTGATCTGTATATGATGCACACACTAAAGCTATAATAAAAAAAGAGCCAAAAAAAAAAAAAAAACTCAAAAGGGCACTCAGAAAACCTACAGAGCAAATAAGAATCTGAAATGGTTAGAAGAAAGCACAGTGGTTTAAAACTTAAACTCATAATTCCTGGGACACTCTTTAATCAGTGGACCTGCTTCAGCATGGCTGCAGTACAGGTTTGGTTTCTCACTGCTTCATTAATATTGTGTGGTAGTTTTCAAACCGATCTCTCTTCTGCCTCTGACCTATTTTCACTGCCAGCCTGCAGAGATGCAGAATATAGGCAATAGGAGTGAAAAATAAAATATAATCACACAGGAAGGGGGGTGATAAAGCAGGCGATAAAAGGAGCTGCCAAAGCTAATGATGGTGGTGATAAAATAAAGAAAGGTTATGCCATCATCACACATGTGCAAATAAAGGTTGGTTGCTGTCATATTCAACTCATAACGTACCAAAAACGCAAAGAGCACTGTTGGATTTCCGGTTTAAATTTGCTCATAGAGGAAAGGGAAAACACTGAAGTAAACACACACAAAAAAAATAAGAGAGAACATCAGCATGCATATCCGACTGGTTTCATAAAAAAAACCTGAGCAAATCACAGAGAATGATGATAGCTCTGGCAATTTCTTTTGGCCTCTTATCTGTACAAAGGGCCACTAACGCATGCCGACAGGCCGTTTGATGTAGGGTTATGTTTAATTGAGGAGCTGGCTAATCATCCCTCTTCTCCAGAACTCACAAGGGAGGGGGAAGAATGGGGGTCCCACTGGCCCCCGTTTGACTGTCACATTGATGCAGTGGATTCATCCAGATCAGAGCAGCTGGAGATCAAGCTTCTAGTTACTGTATCTATAACTAAAGGTCACCTTCAGTGGGCATTTGTAGACACGATTTGAACGTACGACGGAGCAGAGTGACAAAGAATGACTCGCCTAAACCTGAGCAACACTCACGGTTTAATTGGAGAGCTTAAAAAGATGGAGAGCTCTACAGTGTCAGTTTAGCTGCTCAGCAGACCTTCAGGGGATAGGAGGGGGGTTGGGGGGCATAGATAGAGGGAGGATGCTGGTAGATGGGGTAGAGAAGGGGGGTGGTGACAGCAGTGTCTTTAGATGAGCCTCAGAGGTACTTTTGATCAGGTCTCAGAGGTTCAGACAAATTGGGGAGCTCATGCTCCATGCAGAGATTTGTGCAATATGGAGGCTGAGTGGAACTCAGCAGCATCAATAGGTCCTCCTCAGATGCAATGAGTATCAGACGCAGGATGAAAAGCAGAGGATGAGAGACGAGTGTAATTACTCTGCTTAAGTAGCTGCCTTGTGTTGAGGTCTTTACAGCACACCACTTTAATTTTATCCTCTAAAAATATAAAAAAAAATGACTATTCATATTTTATTGGAGTGTTATTATAATGCCTTAAAAATGTAGCATAATTAAATCCCCAATTAACTTAAGTATAATTATTCAATTAATAAGGTTTAATAGGATCACTTGTGTTGATAAACCTAACTGAAGTGTTTTCAGATTATACTTCATCCTTTTAGGATGATGAATATCTAGGAGTTTTTCTTTAAGAATTACAGATCTTAATTTTGGATAGATTCAGCTAAGAGCAGAATCTCAAACAAAAAGTCTCCACAACAAGCATCAAACAATGTCTACATGTCAGCGGTTTGTTTTAGAGAGATGCTGAACAAAAGCCCTCCCTGTCCTACCATCACATAGTTTAACATATGGTGTTTGCTAAACTACAGGCACTTTAAATGCAATCATATTTTGGTAAAATCAGACCAAAATCCTCCTAAAGCATGGTGAATTTGTGTCTATAATAAAAATTGCCTGCTACTGGGTCAGGTAGGTAAATGAGTTCGAACCCCACTTCCACAGACTGCCACTCTGGCTCTCTGAGCAAAGACCCTTAACCCACACTGCTCCGCAGGCACCCCACGATGGCACCCCACTGCTCCGCAGGGGATGGGTTAAATGCAGAGGTAAATTTCCAATTAAGTTAAATTATTATTATTATTACGTATATATAGATGTGCTGGAGAGAGATTCATATAATGCTACGTTCACAGTTAACACGATTTTAGCAGCAAAAAGCTTCTCCTGCTTCATTTTTGATGCTTGTCCACATTAAGGTCAAACACGCCTCAAGAGCAGCTTTGATGCTCCTGAAGCGTGTCGAACAAAGTGTGTACAGATGCATCTGATGCTTGTGCTAGTCCTCTGATCAATGGCAGAGAGTGGCTTTGCTATGATTGCTGTGGTAAGCTGGTAAAAATTTGTATTTTTATGTGACAAAGTCCACCTCAAAATATGCCTGTGCAGACAGCTCATCAAGATTATGATCCTGCTTCAAAATATTGCATATATAGAGCTGCCAATCTTAATGACTTTAAGCATAACTTCATCCATTGTTTATTTTATTTCATTTGGAATCTGTAAAACCCACTAACTGAATGATGGAGTATGAAAAGTGACCGTTGCTCTTCCCAAAAAAAAAGAAAAAAATAACATCACTACTTTCATGTCAGGTTAAGAGGAACTGCGGTGCAGTAAATGATGTTGAGGCTATAAATCCTGTCAGGATGTCTTGTTGCTGCACTGCTCTTTCCTCCAGCTCAGACACTCAGCCTGGTATAGCACCGCAGTCACTATCAGGGAAATTAGATAATAAAACTGTTTGATTTGACATAAGTAGCTGAAAGATCTGACACTGGGTATATTAATAGGTGTTTTAATTATGTCTTCAAACAAAAAGCTCCATGTGAAATTGTAACACTGTGAAATTAAAATTCATAAGATTATAATTGAGTTCATAGGTTTAATATTTATAGACTGGTTGAAAATAACTATGTGATAATCAATTGAAATAAATTTTATTTTCACAGAGTTACACTTTCACATAGAGCTTTTTGTTTAAAGACATAATTTAAACACATATTAATATACCCAGTGTCAGATCTTTCAGCTACTTCTGTCGAATGAACAACCATGGTGGACGATAATGCGGAGAGCAGTCTTGATTTTCAACCTTGTTTAAAAGATTGTGTTGTTAATACACTGGCTGATGTTGGGAAAGAAATAAAAGATTGCAAGATGTGCTCCAGCACTACCATCTATGTTTACTTCCATAAACAGAGAGCACACTCGCTTGTGACATCAATGCATCCTCTACTGTGCATGCGGGACACTTAAGCTGTATGAATGCAGTTCAGATCACATACAAGTCACATATATTTGGAAATGTGAACAACCATGCAAAAGAATTGTATTTTATTTAAAAAAAAATCAGAATGGAGCATCAAGGCCTGCAGTGTGAACATAGCCTAAGACTCTTAAGCAAGTAGCCTTCTTTTTTTGTGGCTAAAAGGGTTCATAAATCTATTTAGTTTTTTTAAATGTATTTGATTGAAGACAATTGAGCACAATTGGGTTAGAAGAAAAAAGCTGAAAAGCAATTTTATTATAAGTAAGCAGTAACAGGGATTAAAGCAAAAAAAAAAATAAATAAAAATTCCTGAGCCTAAACTTTTTCGACACAGGCAAGAAACGGTGACACAAACCCCTTATTTTTAACTCTCATACACGGTCAGTTATTGACACTGGTAAATCAGCTTCTTCTTCTGTTTGGCTAATACTCTTCGTTTCTGAGCGTTCCTTTGCTACCATTGGCTGGCAAAAGCAAGAGGGATTTCGATTGTCTTTTTAAAATTTATTTACCTCCAATTTATCTTCGAGTGATTTTTGTTTTTTTTACCCACGGGCAATCGCTATGAGCCTGAAATCCGACCTGGGGCCGAAATACTTTAATCCTTGCAGTAAGAGACAAACTTGGTAGAAGAAAACATGCGCACTCTTTGAGGCTGTCGTTCTATTGGCTGCAAAGGTTGCTAGGAGACGATCCAACTCCAGTATGAGAGAGAGCGTAAATAATCCCAGAACAGATCCCTAAACAGATCCAACGGGTTTGCGACTGCATCTCTAACTCAAGCAGACCGGTTTGCTGGTAAGGAGAAGGAAGTAAATGAGAGGAGAAAACATCTGTGCGTAGAAAGCATTAGATTTGAGAGCAGAAACAAAGATTAAATGGAGAAGAGAATATTGAGAGAAAGCAGAAGTCTTGAATGTAAGCATTACACATTTTGAGTAAAGGAAATTCTGCTCTCAAATTGAAAATGTGTGCACTTGGTTTTTGGCAGGAGAAGATCCTCCATACGGTACCTTTTGCTAATAAGATTAATCAAAGCTGCAAGCATCAATGGCGCTCAGCGCTGCTTGGCCTATATAAACTTTCATGTATTAATAAACATATTGCTTTTATGACAAAAACACTACAAAGGTTTTGAAGCTCAAAAATCCATTTTTAGCATCATGTCCATCCAGCCGTCTGCTTTGAGTGCTGCAGGTTTTATTTTTACCCGACTCTTTGTGCCATCCTTTCACAGCAATTTCAGCTACCGTATAAATGATAAAAGAGCAACAAAACCAACGGGGAGAAAAATTACTCAAACGTCCTGCTAGCTGCTGAGAAGTCTCTTCACCAATTTGTCTGATGTTGGACATGTCTGTGTAACAAAGAATAAAAAGCCATCTCTTCCCTTGATGTGAGGAAAAGTAAGCCCCACTTCAAGGTTTATTATATACATTACATCCTTTCTGAGCTACTGAGGTACTCTGATGGAAATATGCAAATGAGCAGTGGATTGGCATCATTTGCTCATTTCTTCAAAGAAGCTACCTAGGGCTGCTTTTCACTGCAAACACTTCTTTAGATCTCGGATCACTGTCCACACCCGAGGAGAGATTTGATTTTATCACTGCAAAATAAAAAAGATAATAAAAATAAACCAACAAAGACATTGATTGCAGTAAAAACATGCCTATAAGTATATGATAAACAG